AAAAATTGTTGGTTAGGGACCTAGGGTTAAACATACTCCATTTCTATATCCTGAGATTGACTGTATGGTGAAAAAAAAAAACACGGGAACAAAATTTGTCAACTTACAAAACAAAAATTATTCAATAAAAAAACTGTGAGCAGAAACTATTTTCCCGGTGATCATAAAAAATATCCCTCTAGACTAGCCAGTCCAAGTGCACTTGAAAGATTGGTCTCTGCAGGAGGTTTAGGCTGTTGTAAGGCCAAAAATGCATTGATAGTGCAATCTCATCGACAAGAATACCAAGCTTCAGACTTTTACCACAAATGCCATCAACTTTGTTACTCTAGATATATGTAATCAGAAACAGCAAATAACCAACAAGAGATAAAGGAAGAGGCATGCTGGACCTCCCCACAGTATTAAAGAAATACTCACATCAGAGCATGGTTATTGTATAGTTCATTTTGTATATATTTTGTGCATTCATGAGTTTGCAACCCTATTGACTTTTGTATGTAAAAGGGAAGTATATTAGAAACTGTTTTGAGATACATGCACATAGACTAGCCTGTACCAGCTACTATGAAACCTCTAATATTCCATTTCCCTTCTAATCCACTTCTTCTATCCCAATTTTAAGTGGGCCTTTAAATTGCAAAAATGGATTTTAATTGGAGCACAAGACCATTCTAGTAAGCCAGACATATTTAAGTGCATGACAATGTATTCATGAAGAGTAAAAAAACAATTAACTCAGGTCAAATGGTGGGACCCCACCTCCATTTCTCCTAAAAGGGGAAGAAACTTTTATTAAAGAAAAAACCCACACGCGATATGAATATGCCGATTGGTCAAATTGTATCTCTACCTCCCTCCCTCCCTCCCTCCCTTCCTCCCTTCTCTCTCTCTCTATCACGCGCACACACACACTTATAGAACTCGTGCTTGCTTTCCAAAAATAATAGCTAAAAGGGTAATTTCAGCTATTTAAATTAGGTCAAATAATCCAACATGCCTGGTTGCCACCAAATTTTCTACAGGGAGGTAACTAACTGTAACTAAATTTAGCAATAGTGTGCCCGCTTCAAACAACCTGGAAATCATTGAAATCAACAAAATAAGGGTATGTGTGTGCATCTCTAGTTGGATTACTTGACCCTTTAACATCAAATCATTCCCGGCCATATGAAAGTGCAAAAATTAAAATCTTCAGCCTTCATGTTAATAAATGCAATGGAGATATCTTTATTTTTTTGGTTGATAAGAAACATTACTTTCAACCTATTCTGTTCTCATATGATAGCTCATGACATTTTTAGCTAATTCTTGAACTTCTTTTAGATGCAAAAATGTTTCTCATATAGCATATCACATAAAAAGGAAGGATCAAATGATTTTGTTGAACAATTTTTATAAACTTAAACTCTATAATTCATCTATAGGAATTCTATACATTAAAGCTCACCATCCTTTCTCATCTCAGGGAGCAATCCTGAAGCATGCTTTTCTACGATTTTAATATATCCATCAACGTCATGATCATGAACATTAAACAAGATAATTGAGCCATACTGAAAAACTACCATTTTGTAACGACCCATTTCACCACATGGTATGATATTGTCCGCTTAGGGCTTAAGCCCGCACGGTTTTGCTCATGGGTTTCACTTCAAAAGGCCTCATACCAATTGGAGATGACACACTTTCATATAAGCACTTCACCTTTCCTCTACCCAGGCGATGTGGGACTGTGCACCCGTAGTTCGCCAGTGTGGTAGCCTGACAATGTCTCTCGCACCTGCCCACGGCACACCCGCCCACAGGGTCATCACAATCCACCCCCCTTGGAGGCCCGACGTCCCCGTCGGCACACTTCCGACTGGGTCAGGCTCTGATACCATTTGTAACGACCCACTTCACCACATGGTAACAGCAATCACTTCCACTTAAACTGGAACCCGAACCCTGATACAAAAATAATAATATCAATAATAATAACAAAGATTTAAGAAAAACATTCAGTTTGATGAATCATGTCCATTAAATTTAGAAATTTCTGGATTGTATGTATCATGTACAAAATTGGAATTTGGATTTGATAAAAGTCGCATAAAAGCACAGTATCAAAAATGCATTGATAGTGAGGATTCAAACTTTTTTTTTGGCAGGAAAACATAAAAGTACTTCAAAAAAGTTACTCTGACTCGCCTATTGGCATTCCAATGATTTGTTCTCCATTGTGAGGGGAGAAGAGAGAACTGGTCGTGTGCGGATGGTTGGCTTCGGGCCTACACCAAGCAATGTTTGGGGGCCCTCTCCTAGTAAAGCTGAACTGATTAATAATGCGAAAAAATCTGATGAGGAGGCACGTACTGCACACGTAGAGTTGCGGGAGACCATATCAAAAATGCAAGCTGACTATGACAACAAGTTGGAAAATTTACGAGCCAACTATGATGACAAGTTGGAAAATTTACAACAACTGGTGGCTATGCTAATGCAGATGCAACAACAAAATTGTAGTGGACAGGTATATTTATTATTAGTTTTATTCTTTACTAAATATATGTTTACTTATGCCAAGATTTCATGTATTCTGTTTTCTTATTTTGAAGGGTTCTGATTCGTTAAATGCTCCTCCTAGAGTATCCCCAAATTCATTATCTAGTCGTGATGCCAATTCAGTTAAGGTTATGAACTTTTAATTTCTCTTATATATATGTTAAATTTTCATTTATTATAATGTGTGCGTAATGAATTTATAAAAAATGTAGGGTAATTCAAATCAAATAGGCAAGAAGACTTGTTGAAGTTGAAGTTGAAAATGGGGTCGTGGCTATGCTTTCTGAATTTCCTTCGCCTTGGATGGGTTTTTTAAAAAAAACTTGTACTACATTTGTCAAAAATTGTTAATTCTTTTTGTCTGACATTTAGTAGCTTTATTTAGACAATTTGGATGGTATATTGGCAGGTTAACTTGTGGTTGTATTAGTATACATTTTTGCTTTTTGGTTGACATTTAGCAGGGTTAACTTGTGGTTGTATTAGTAGCCAATTTTGATGGTATTTTTCATATTGGCAGGGTTAACTTGTGGTTGTATGAGTAGCCAATTTTAATGGTAATTTTTATATTGGCAGGGTTAACTTGTGGTTGTATTATGTAAAAACAATTTGGATCAATGTTTACTGTTGGTAGTTCTATTGATATGTTTTTTTCCAAAAACTATAAGGAAGGAAAAAAAAAAAAAAAAAAAAAAAAAAAAAAACCCTTTACCAGCGCTCTTTTAAGAAGCGCTAGCATAGGGAGGGGAGGAAAAACAAATTAAAATTACCCTTTAGCAGCGCTTTACAAAAAAGCGCTGGTAAATACACTCTACCAGCGCTTTTCCAGGAAGCGCTGGTAAATACTATATACCAGCGCTTTCTGGAAAAGCGCTGGTAAAAAGACCTTACCAGCGCTTCTGCAAAAGCGCTGGTAAAGGCCAACCAACACTGGATTTACCAGCGTTTTTTAAGACTTTTACCTGCGCTTTTGGGCACGGGTAAAAACCAAAACTGTTGTAGTGATAGGTCTAACCCACTATTATTTTTCAGGTAAAGAACGGTTCCAGGTCTTAGAGCTTGTTCGTGCTGAGCAGAGACGGCTACTCATTCTTCCGATGACGTAGGAGTTTTCTTCATGGTTTAGCATTAGATTTCCTTTAGTTGTTGTTTCAGTGTTGGACTTTTATTAGCGGTCCACTAGATGGATTCCCGAGTTGTATTAGAAATAGAGAAGTTGAATGTATCGGAATAGTTTCTTATTTATAAAATTTATTATGAGGTTTCAGTTTCTGGATTATCATTTTAGTATTTTTTTCAGCAATTTTATTTATTCCTGTTTATCTTAATTGTATTATGTGTTCGTTTATTGCTAATTGTTTTGATATCCTCAGGTAGTCAGACGTGGGCCTGGCCAACCCACATCCGGAAATCCGGGAGTATCACATGACACTTATGTAGGAGAACGGCACTTGCGTGCTTGTTGTTCTTCAGAATCTTTGAATGTTAAAGGGCTTCGCATTGTTCTTCAAGATCTTTGAATATTGAAGAGAAGTTCAAAAGATCAACTGGATGGGGTTTTTATTATTTATTATCAGACATGTATTATTATAATGGGGGATTGGGCAAAAATGAGTGGATGGTTAGGAACACCAAGGTACACAAAGGATTAGTAATAAAGATTATGTAAGTTATCCAACAAGATATTTCTGCGTAAAAGGAATTCTAATTGGGACTTTAAGGGCTTCGCGTTGTTCTTCAGAATCTTTGAATGTTGAAGGGCTTCGATGAAGAACGATACTTGTGTGGTGTGACACTTGTATAGTGTGCTTCAGAGCGTTTGTTGAGTCTCCGTGTGTCTGTCTATGTATCTGTCTCTGTATGTCCCTTCTCTTGTAAGGTGGCCTTATAGGCCAAAGAATGAGTCGTCTAATTTGGAAACTCCCTAATTGTGCGATTTTCCCATAAATAAGATATTTGTTTCCTTCTATATTGAAATCAAATAAGGGATTTGTTCCCTTTTATATGAAAATCAATTCAAATTCATTTGAATTCAACCGCACTTTTCTTTAAAGGGCTGAACCTTTAGGATTTTGACACGTGTCCATTGATGGAACTCATATTTGTGGGATTTAATTAATTAAGAAATATTTAACTTCTTAACCAATCCGACGGTCATTAGACCATCACAAATTTTAGACATCTACAGTGGGTAATTTTCCAAGAAATCCACTGTAGATGCCTAAAATTCTTAATGTGAAAGATTTAGATTCAAGTTCTTGAAAAGATAAAATATATTATTTTGTAATTTTCCAAGAAATCCAAAAAGAAAGGGGAAAAAAAACATAGAAAGGCGATAAGATATTAACACTGGGTAACAAAGCATCACCAAGAAATTCTCTTAAGTCTTCAGCAGTACAAGCGTGCACTCAATAACCATACGCATATATGAATTTTACATGAGATCGAATAAGTCACAATGAGGAAGTTCTCACTGAACTAGAGTCCTCAGTGGTTTCCTTGACAATCTATGGATGCAATAACGAGAGTCGCGAGCTTAATAAGAACATCTTCATAAAAGACCGTCTTTTACATAGAGTGGAAAGTAGTAACACGTACATATATGTAACCATGAGATCACTTATTGTTGCCAGAAAAAAAAAAAAAAAAAAAAAAAAAAAAAAAAAAAAAAAAAAAAACATGAGATCGATCACTTGGACAATTTAAGTCCCGATAATTAAGAAAAGGCAGAACATAATACAAATACGTAGAAACACGTGATGGATCAATATATTTGTAGGTCTCAAACACCACAGTAAGCTTTGATTGGGCTGGGGCACTTGGATCTCATTCTCTTGCCCTCCTCCGAGTTTACAGAAGCGAAGTAATTTGTAGTGATAAAATGGCTTGTATTGTAAAGGGTGTGCGTCATCAACTACCTCTTCTGGTATTTCTATGAGCAGATCCCTGACTAATGAAAATAGACCCAGGAAGTATCTTTCTTTGCTGCTCATAATCACCCGATGAATAGGAGATTCTATTCTGCCATTTGTCCATGCCTAAACATGCATGCAAATAAGGCAGGGGATTAGGATGTAATTGAACTTAATTAATTAAGCTCTTGATGAGTCTTTTCTTTTGGGCTTTCCCTTGAAATGAAAGAATTAAGATAGAGACATATAAATATATATATATATATATATAGAGAGAGAGAGAGAGAGAGAGACTCACCATGCATACTTGACCTGCCATGACTACGAAAGATGAAGGAGAAGGGTCAATTAGAATCTATTGGTCGTCCTTTGTTTTAATCTCCAAACCCTCGACTTGATATTGATGAAGAATGGTGAAGAAGCTACTGTCAGTGTGGGGGAGGATACCAATATTAGTCTCATTCATTTTGGGTTCTCTATATTTTGTAGGTTTAAGCAGGTAACACGTCGATCCAAGGCGATACTCGTGGTATTTCTGTATGCCATAACTCTCTGATACCATTTTCTTCACCGTTTGATCTAATTCCGATGCTAGCTTTGAGAAGGAAAGTACAGTTTCACTAACCAAGAAACAACACAAGTAACATAAAGTTAGATTAATAGACCATTCGAAAAAAGAAAAAAAAAAAAAAAAAAACACGCATATTTGCATAAACACACAAATTATACCAGACAAAATCATTTCCGGAGGGCCAGAAGAGATTAGTGAATTTCTGAGCTCCTTGTAGAGTTGTTGCATTTTCTATGCCCAAGCTTTCATAGAGAGGAATTACAGGCAGTGATCCAACATAGCCATGATTAGGTGTATCAGAAGTGTTCTGTTTTTTGGTTTCTGTGGGGAGATCAAATAACTGTTTTGATGCTTGAAAATTTGCGTTGTGAAGATCCAAAGAAACTGTGTCATACACTGCTACGAAACAACCATACTCTTCCAGAGCTCGCACAGTTTCATTTCGTGTTGATAGCCCAGAATTTGTACCAGGCTTCAAGTTTTTCTCACAGAAGTCTATAACAGGAAGCTTAGGCTGTGCAAGGGAACCCATAACTTTAGGGTTTTTAATCTTTGATTTCCTAGCAATTATGTTTGAAGCCTCTTCCTAATTAAGAAGGAAGAATATGGCATGCATCACTATAAATGTATATATACCATAAAAGTTATGATGTTGACATCCTCATTTGTAGATCAAAATATTGATGTCATTAGATCCATTCGGAATTATTTTTTAGGGTTTGGAAGCTTGTTATTGGATTATTTGGGGAAAAAATTAAACAAAGATTAGGCCTTTTATGCGTTGTTTTCACTAAGCTCTAGCTTCTTAATCTTATTGATAGGGAAAAATAAACCTAACCTACCTTGACCAGCCGCCAAACCTCTTCGACATATTTCGTTATCAGAGATAAAGATTTCCATCGAATAAGAATGATGACATATCTTATACGGGTGATTCAATAGAGTAAGGATAACCTGGGCACAATTTGAGAAAGTCAAAGGAGTAAGTCATATCCTCGACAAATCTGACAACAAACGATCTTCTCTGATTTCGTACAAGTGGATCTCCTGCGGGACCAATTTGATTCCAATCGACAGCCATAAATAGGGCACCGAACCATTAAAGAAGGTACGAGAAAAAATCCCTAAAGAGAATATTACATGATAATTATGTGATACGATTACAAGTACTAATTTGATCGTAGGACTGGCACCCCCACCAATGCCATTCGAGGTGACGTCGGTTTGTTTTGTAGGTAAACGCTGTCATTCCGAGTTGCGAGAATTTTCGTATCAACACTTATAAAATAGTAGTTGTTGTTATTTAGAGTATTTACCATCTTATGAGAACCAAATGTCTAATTGGCAAAAGCTAGCTAATTATTGATGTATTACCATATTTTAATTCTGTGTTTATATATATATTTGTAATATTTTAGGATTTAATCACTATCAACTTTATATTTTTATTAGTAATAGTTTGAAGTTACATCGGATCATATAGATATATATAGATATTAAACGTACTACTACACTGAAAGGGTCTAATTGTATTGTAATTGGTATTTTTTTTTCTTTTTGTGGTTAATAATTTCAGAATTTCTTAAATCTAAATCTCTCTTCCTACTCACAATAGTCAACTTAAATATCATTTTTCTTTGTCATTGTATAATATAATTTATTTTTTATAAAAAAATGCTTCAAGTCATTTTCATGCTTGCAGCGATATTTTGAATTAAAAATATCAATATTTAGTTAGGTGGATGACTAATTGGCAAAGCTAGTTGATTATTGATGTATTGCCATATTTTAATTCTTGTTATATACATATACATATATATATATATATATATATATATATATATATATATATATATATACACACACGTAATATTTTAGCATTTAATCACTATCTACTTTTTATTTTTATTAGTAATAGTTAGAAGTTACATCGGATTAGTTCACATATAGATATAGATATTAAACGCACTATTACACTGAAAGGGTCTAATTGTATTGTAATTGTTTTTTATTTTTTTATTTTTCTGGTTCTTAATTTCTGAATTTCTTAAATTTATATCTCTCTTTCAATCTCACAATAGTCCACTTAAATATCATTTTCCTTTGTCATTGTATAATGTAATTTAATTTTAATAAAAAAAATACTTAAGCCATTTTCATGCTTGCAGAGAAATTTTGAATTAAAAATATCAATATTTAGTTAGGTGGACATTAGTAGAATTTTTTATTTTTTATTTCTTATTTCGACCGTGATGTTTTTGGGCTTCTTAAAGCACCACATAATCTAACATTAGACACATAAAGTCTATTTAATAATATAAAATATTTGAACACTTAGCAGTGCTCAATCCACCCATTTCTCCGTTTTAGCGTTTCCGGCAATCTTCATCGCAGTTAACTCAAGTGAATCTCAGACCAACCAAGTTTGCAAGTGAGGATCGGCACTAACACTCCTCTCACTATAATCTTGTCAACGCTCAGTAGTACCAACAAGGATGATGTTGAAAAATAAAATAAATTTGAATTGATTTAGAAATAAATTGCAAAAGTAGGACTGATTTGTCCTGAGAAAATTTTTTTGGACTTTTGACTTTCAGCTCCAAAAATAGGATTATCAAAAAATTTTCCTTATTTAAAACTATATTTGCACTAATTAAATAAAATTTAATATTTATTCTGTTTCTTTCAACCTTCATTTTCAAACTCAAAATTTGTAGGTACAAAAAAGATAGCAATTGTGCACAGTTGAAAAACTTGTCCTTAAAATTTAATAAGAGTATAGATATTATTATTATTATTATAATATATATATATATACGGGAAGGTTCTCATGCGATCTAAAATAACGAACTTTTTAAGACCAAAACTCAATTAGTTCGATGACACTTTATTACCTTATCAGACTTAATCATAATTAATAATGTTTACTTTAATAGTCAATGTACCATAGTCAACCAATACATTTATTCAATCTCTCTCCTCTTTAATTTATTCCATCTTCCTTCAATCTCAGCTACTACCGTTATATTCACACCATCACAACCATCATCTTCACCACTACAGCCACAACACAACTAACATATTCATTCTTCAAGTAATCATTGGTTCATAGATTTGTATCATTGCTTATGAAAAATAAAAAAAATAAAAAATAAATAAGAGAACAATAGTCAATTTGTTCATAGATTTGTAATCATTGCTTATGAAAAACAATCATTGGTTCCCCGTAAGATTTGTATCATTCTATGAATCAATGTATCTAACACTGCAAAGATCTTATGAAATTATTTTAGCATCTAGAGGTGGCATTTTATAGGATGGAGCTCTCAATTTGTTCTTTTTAACCAGCAACGTGATTTTAGTTATTTCTGATTAGAAATTGAACATTATTGAGAAACTAATTTAAGGATTGTCCACATGTATCTAGAGTACGACCATCAGAACTTGTTTAATATAGGAATAAAGAGGAGAGAGAGGAAGAATCTTTTTTTGAAAAATTGATTATTAAAGTTGACATTATTAACTATGGTTAAGTTTAATAAGATAATAAAATGTAATTAACTAATTGAGTTTTGATCCATTGAAAAGTTCGTTATTTTGGACCGTATAAGAGCCTACCTATATAGATATATATCTAAAAGGGGAAGCAGCGCAAGATATATGTAGTTTAAAGCAATAAATAAAAGCTTAAAGCATAAATAGAAAATAGTCTAAAGTAATAATTAAAAGCTTAAAGCATAAATAGAAAAGAAGTACAATTACTAAAATTAACTTTTGATTTTATAAGCATAAGTACAAAATACACTTACTAAAGTCAGTGAGAATAGTAGACAATTACTCTGTGCGGAACATAGGTGGTTGGATATAACAAAAGATGGATAAAGCCAGAAATAAATTTGAAAGAAAAGCTTAATCTTTACAAATGAAAATGAGTCCTGTATAGATCAACATTCAAAGATCCTGAAAAACAATAAGCACACATCTGCTCCTATGCAAGTATCGTTCTTCATCAAAGCCCTTAACATTTAAAGATTCTGAAGAATAAAAAGCACGCAAGTGCCGATCTCCTTCGAAGACCTTCAAATCCACCGTTCGAGATCAAGCTTCATTGGCCCTCAATCGAAAATCTAATCAAGTCTTCTTCAAAGATTTGAAGAATTCTGAAGCCCTTGCACCGATTTTCCAAAGAAATTTAATCAGAAGAAAATCCTATGTTGTAATAGAATAGACTAAAGAGGATTGTACCCGAATTTTACAAAATTAATAAAATTGATATTTGCTCCATATTTCGTTCTTTATTACAAAATCAAAATTTGTGTGTACACCCACTTTATTATTAAAAAAAAATGTAATTGTCATTTGTTGGTTGTTTGTACTCATTTTCTAATTAGTAACAATACGATGCTAAACAAATTCACACTCGTAGTGCATGTATATATAATACTGTCTATGCTCTTAAAATATTTCAGACACAAGTTTCTCTACTGTGAATTATTTTATATTTCGAAGATTTGGGTCGTAATTATCTTTTATACTCATAAATATTGAAATTTATTTATTTTAAGTATTCGGGATATGGAAAACTTTGCTTGAGGTCCCTTACTAATTTTCGGAAAATCGTGCAAAATGTTCCTTTTATATGGTATTTCACTTGTGGGTGTGGCTTTAAAAAATTATTTGTACTCAAGAAATCAAAAATTAAACCTGATGATTTCAAGTAACTTATTCATGATTTTGTTTTACTTATATCTAATGGATGCAAATGCTGGAAGAACTTTCTGTTTTTGGGAAATAAGTTTCTATCGAAACAGTAAGTTAGCAATCCTCCAAACTTACTGAATTAAAAAATAGTCACATATTAATACCCAATGACAACTGTGCAGAGAGTAAATTCCCAATCCTGCAAAATTCAATGGGAATGATACAATAATTATCGTAGTTGTTTTTCTTCTTCAAATACAAGTTTTGGATGTTAAAAAGAAAGATTTGTAAGTCAAGTAATAGAGTGTTCAATATGAATACTCCAATAGTTAACACTTAAATGCTTAAATCTAAAACAGAGGAACTCCAAGTAGTTGAAAATAATTTTGAATTTATCTTTTTATATTTGATAAATTAAAAATTAAAAAGGAGATTTTCACTTATAAAAAATAATAATAATACCATGTCATGTCAACCCAAACCTATCTACAATGAACAAGGCGCGCTGCAATTAAGGTTTTGATACAAATCTAATGTTGTTGTAGTTAATAACTTTGGAGAGAATTCCTTTTTTTTTTTTTCTCTAAATATATATAACAGCAAAATCCATCATAAATTTGAACCAACACTTTCCAAAGATAACTGTCCACTAGGCTTTTAGTAGTATTTTGTTTTTTGGGCCTTTATGCTTTGGTGTAGGCCTTCTTACCCTATCTTGGGCTTCTTCTAGGCCTTTTCACAGCTCAGTTGTTCATACTTTTACTTAAATACTTATTTGCTTTCTTTAATAAAAATAGAAAATAGAAAACTACACAAATGGGAAGATGAAAGAAAGGAAGTCCCTTGTTTCTGGGACACGGATCGGGCATCTTTTTTTTGTATTTTCAAAATTATCAAAATTAATCTAAAAACTAATATTAGAACACAGTCATTTACAAATCATTTGCACCATCACCCTTTTTTTTTTCTTTTTTCTTTTTTTTTTTTTTCTTTTTTATGAATGAAAGTAAATTTACATGAGGACCTAGGACGCCAAAGAGTAACAAAAGATGTGAATGGTTCAACCATTTACTTTACTATTTATTTTTTTAAGATTAAGGTGAAATAAATAAACATTCAATCTGATTAATTTTATGAGAGTTAAGATCGAAGAAGTTAAATCTGACTAATTTTATGATTACAATATGATACGAGAAAAAAATACATTTTTTATATACAATAAATACATTCTTTATTTTTTTATAGGTTCCTGAAATATTATGAATATAAATGTAGTCATTAATATAACATAAGATTTCGTTTCACAATATATTAAACAAGTATTCTTATTTATCACTTAATAAAATTTGCACTTTTATTAACAATTATACTATGTTACTATTGTTCAAAATATTATATTTTAATGTTCAAAACTTTTTAAAAATGTGTTATGAAGTATGAAATAAGTATCAATATGCAATCAAAGTATCTGAGAAATATTTGATACATGTTAAAAATTAAAATTATGAATAGTATTAAATACATATCTACAAAGTATCCAAAGAATATCTCAGTCCGTTCGACTTTCGAAATCCAAATCAATATCAATTTAGTTAGTAAAGTAATTGCTTGCACCAAATAGTTGCAGTAAATTGTTATAACTACTCTTTTAATTGGTCAATTATGCAACAAGAAAAAAGAAGTGAAACCCTCCCCTTAATTGTATTTGGTATAAATAACTAATTAAAAATTATTCCGTTAATAATATAAAAATTACAAGTGTTCGATGTGACTATTTAGTTAATAATATAAAAATTACAACTTTCTTCCTTTTATTCCAATTAACATGCATAATAAACAATTCATCATTAGTCGGCAACCATAAGATATCATAAAATCTCGTCAAACCTGTTTCATTGTTTAGGGGCCTAAGATTCCGATGAATAAAAGAGGAATAAATGGCATAACAAACTGACAAATAACTTTAAAAAAACAAATGCACCGACGAGGACCACTGGAAAGACATTTTCATAAAATTATTATATATGGTTGTATATCTATTTATTCTTCCATATAAGCCCCCTATTTTCGGGGATTATTGCAGTCGATGGTGTTTTCATGCCAGAAGAGAGAACCCCACTTAGATCTACTTCAAAGTCATCTTGGATCCATATGGTCGTCTAATTATTACATTAGGTGATGTGTTATAAAATTTTATAATAGATCTAGTCCCTTCAAATATTTTAATCCATTTTGGTACGAGTGTGAAAATGGAATAGAAATGGGTTAGCCAAACAAAGAGTTAACCGGCCCAAACAAAGCTTAAGCCCAAAACCGGAAAACATTGAACCACACCAATGCTACGTGTTTTAAAAAACAAACTGCATGTGATCCAATTCAATGCCATTAAAACTTGTTTTCCCCGATCTTAAAAGTGGAGTGACATCTCGAAATGTTTTCATGATTAATTGTGAAAATGGTTCCAACCTATTTTATGGATGCAAAAAGGATTAAGTCTCTTCACAAATCGAATTAGTTGTAGGGATTGAACTTTTTTCAATTCGTCCTATATTATTATTCTTAATCATGACCAAATAGATAAATTTTCAGCCATTAGTAAAACTTAAAAGTTAGTAGGTCTTTAAGATTAAAAATTAATAAAACTTTAAATAATAATAAAAAATATATATATAAAGAAAATCGAATATATATACACACTAGAAAATGCAATTTTAGAATGACACCTTAATTATATATTTGCAAAGCGTGAAAGTATTCATATTAAAATTTTACTAGAATTGTTCGTTTTTTTATCAGCAGCTTGTGATTTGATTTCATAGATTAATAGATTGAATCAGATCGATTTCAAAGATCAATGCAACCCTTGCTGAAGCAAAATGAACATTTGGTGGTCCATGCTTTGGGAAAGTTGGCTTCAATTGGAAGCAAAGGTGATGATATTGAGGGGCCTATATGGCCTCAGTGGCTTCCAAATCTTGTAATGTCCTACTACTATATTTTTGTGTTCAATGATATCGATTTGATTTGACAACAAATAAAATTTTAAATTAAATTAAAAATAAAAAAAGTTGTTCATGATAATATTTTAAACTGTCGTGTGTGACAAGAGCTTTATTAAAACCTTTCTCACATTCCAAGTTTCCAACATCAACATGATTGATTTTTATTTACCTAAAAATATATCACTCATTTGTCCCCTAGTCACACAAAAAGCATCCACAAAAACAATTTAAATAGGCCGAAGCAATTGCAACTTCTCACTCGGTATACAAAAAGCAAAAGAAACTAGCTCCTTCTACCTCTATCACCAACAAAAAGAAATGGGCTCTGAAGTTCCTCTCAGGCTTCCCACCATTGATTTCTCCAAGCTAGGGCTGAACCCCACCGACTCTGTCGAGTGGGAATCGGTGAAAGCTCAAGTCCGGCGAGCCCTGGAAGAGTATGGCTGCTTTGAGGTTTTGTTCAGCAAAATCCCTTTAGAGCTTCGAAAGGCCATATTTGGTGCATTGGAAGAGCTTTTCAACCTCCCTCTACAAACTAAGCTAAAAAACTCTTCTAAGAAGCCCTTCCATGGCTACGTAGGGCAGTATCCGATGGTGCCCCTCTACGAGAGCATGGGCATTGATGATGCAGATGACCCCGAAAAAGCTGAGGGCTTCACTAATCTCTTATGGCCCGAAGGAAACCCTACTTTCTGGTGTGTGTGTGTGTGTGTGTGATTATTGTACATGCCTAGTAGATTGTTGTGAGGCTAATACGTATATATATATATATATACTAAGATCATATATATTAAATATTGACTTAATATCTCTTTCTTTGAAGCAAAACTGTACAATCCTTCTCGGAGCAAGTTTCGGAACTTGATCAGATGATTAGGAAAATGGTTCTGGAGAGCTTGGGCGTAGAGAAATACCGTGATGAACACTTGGAGTCAACAAACTACCTTCTTCGAGTGATGAAATACGAAGGTCCACAAACCAGTGAGACCAAGCTTGGGCTAAATGCACACACTGATAAGAACATAGTGACCATATTGTATCAGAATCAAGTTGAAGGACTAGAGGTGCAGACCAGAGATGGGCAATGGATCAATGTCAACCCCTCGCCTGACTCTTTCATAGCCATGATCGGAGATTCTCTCTATGTAGGTCGCTCTCAACTTGCAGTATTCCTCATTATGCCCAAATAGGAGTACTATTTTTCATTAAAATATATATATATATATATTTGTTTTTCGATATTGTTTTAAGGAAATTAAACCAAATATACTTCTTGTAATTTGTGTAGGCATGGGCAAATGGTCGACTGCATTCTCCCTATCATCGGGTGATGATGACTGGAAATGAGACGAGGTACTCGGTGGGATTGTTTTCGATCCCAAAAGCTGGGTATGTGATAGAAGCCCCTGAAGAGCTGGTTGATGAAGAATACCCTTTACTGTTTAAGCCCTTTGATCATGTCGAGTTCCTCGGTTTCTACTACACTGAGGCGGGACAGAGAGCTGAATCTGCCCTGAAGACTTACTGTGGTGTCTGAGATCGATCTGGAAATTAAAAAAACACAAATAATTAAGCACCTTTTTGTTGTATACTTTTCTTGGCCCTAAAATTAAGTTGGATATATGTATTAATTATGTATAATTTGCTTGCCTTGTGGTTTTATAGGAGTAAAATTGTGAGTGTTGGTTTGTCATATGGCATTGAATTTTTATATGGTAAAAATCAACAGTAAATTATGATATCTTATGTTTTAATGGTTCAGTTGGGATTGGGACAAAGGTCACAATCTGAATATTTTGACAAGCTTGATGACACTTTAAAAGAAGGGATTTTAAAATATAAAATAAAAATTCAAGAATAGAGTGAAGAAAACAGAGTTTGGGGACAATTTTTAGTGACACCAGAAAATTTTGTGAGGAGATTGGTCTTTTAATTTGTGGGGCAAACTTATATAGTGCATTCATTTTTATAATTTTAATAGGATTTTTTTCATAAAATAAAATAAATAAATAAAATAGTGGGAACATCTTCAAAATTTTGAAGTATAAAATGAAAAATATATATATATATATATATATATATATATATATATATATATATTGTGGGGTTGAATTATAATATTAGTGAGGCATCTTCATAAATTTCAAAAAATAATTGAGATATAAAATAAAAATATAAAAAATCACGTGGGGGCATCCGTCCCGTCCTATGTTGGTCCGTGCTTAGGAAAAAAGGTAGAAGAAAGAGGGAGAAATGAGAAACTGTGGATCTGTTGTGTCTAGCGCATATGATATAAAAAATTAAGCATCTTCATACTGTGTTCATCGTCAATTATTTCTCTCTTCACTTCAAATCTCAATAATTTTGTTATCTGAAATTGTAATCTTCTTGTTTATTCACTTCAGTTCACATGTCATTAATCAGGAAGAATTAAGACTTGCGATATAAAAGGCGATACAAACTAGGTAAACATTGTATAGATCACAAGTTGAAGAACAAGAAAATAAGAATTCTATGTGGAGTTGATATATATATTATAAAAGGTGACATTATTGAGTTTATTTATATAAGAGTTGTTATAAAAATACTCTGAATGTTTGTAATTGTTTAGTAAAAAACAAGAATTCATTTTTAATTAACCATATATATTCTGTTTCCATTTTTCATTTCATTTTCTTAGATTTTTTATATATACATATAGTTAATATAAATACATACAGCCTTGTACAAATAAAACTCTATTAGTTTCAACTTATATTCCTTTTAACAAAACAACTCTAAAATATATATTTTTTCTCTTGTCCTTTATATTATAAATCTCATTCTTCCTGATTAGTGACACGTGAACATAACATAATAGAAAATAAAATTATAATTAGAGAAAACATGTTGTTACGTTGTGAAAATGTCAAAAATGGTGAATTTTATAGTATCTAATAAATTATACAACATTTGGATAGCATTACAAAAAAAGGAAACATAGAGAAAAATGAGAGGAAATACAGAAAAGGCTTACATTAATGTACCAATGGTCTTATAGTCTAACGATATCTTCTCTACCACCAAAATAAATGGTGAAGATTCAAATTTTCAAATGAGCATGTGTGAATGTGGTGTGCATGAGTTTTTTAGTCAATGACAACAATAATAATAATAATAATATAATAGACGTGGGCTAGCACTCAAATAAGCCCACGTGTCATGTCATAAGATTCCTCAGTTACAAAACTTAAATCGTAAAAGTTGGGCCTTGAAATAGGCCCAGAAACATCATGACCCAGAATACTAAGTTGGCTCATCTTGGCCTAATTAACTTAAAACTTTTAAATTGTAAAAGAGTCCAGCACAAGCCTGGTTTTAAACCATTCAACCAACCTCTGATGCATTGATGTCAACCAAGTAAAAACAAAGATTGAACTTTAGAGAGATTAACAAAAAGGAGATACTGTAAATAGAAAGAGAGTACAGAAGAAAATAAATGAAACCTGAAAAAGATAAGATACTAAAAACGGAAGGTTTTTAAAAGAAAATACAGTATAAAATTTCAGATAGATACATCCAGCAGATAGGGCAAGAGAAGAAAACAGAATTTTGGGGCAAGGGAGTGTGTGAAGAGGAAAAGTGATACACAGTCAGTGGGTGGGACCTACCAATTTTACACGTCTACCACTAAGTATTAGTTTTTTTTTTTTTTTCAATTAATATAAATTTCTGTTTCCATTTCATTTACTTTGTAATTTTTATATAATTAATATAAACACATCCGCTCTGGTACAAATAAAACACTATTAGTAGGTTAAAAAACAAAAATAAAACTCTATAATTTCACCTTATCTAGGATTCTTTTTTAAAAAAACAACTCTAAAACAGAATTCTATGTTTTCTTAATTCTATTTTTTTTTTTATGTTCTATACAACTATATCTCGTTTACATCATTTCATATACAACATTATTTCGTTTACATCGTTTCACGTGATTAACACAGCGTTACCTTATTTATATCGTTCTTTACATCGTAAATCAGTGACAGGTGGTGATCTGAACAGTAAACACAATGGCAGTTATGATTATAGACACCACAATATTTTAATACAAAGATTGAGAGTTCAAGCATCCAAGAGACTACAACATTTGGATAGCCTTACAAAAAGGTGAGAGTTTGAAATCATTGAATCTCATTCTCTTGTAGCTTAATATTGTACAGAACTTTTTGTTATATATAATGTGTATATATAGGGGTTGGTTAGACTGATTTTACTGAGTAATTTTAAACTAAAGATTAAATTGTTTTATTATCTTTTACTAATTAGTAGTATCAAATATTATGTTTTTATTAAACTTTCTTGCTTTTGATTTGCCACATCCATGTGGAATAATCACTCTTAAATAAATAATAAATTAACAAAAATAAGATGAAGGGTTGAACCCCATTCGATCTATTATTGTGCATGCAAGAGCGGAGAAAAAAAGGCACCACAATGATGAAAGAGAAATTGAGAAATTCTCAATTCTCTCCCCCATCAGCCGAGTGCTATTCTCAACTCCTTCCCATTTCAGGCGTTACTTTGGGGAAGTTCTATTTCCATTATAAATAGCATTTTCTTGTTGCTTAATTTTATTTTTTTTTATGGAAATTCTTGTTGCATGTGTGTGTATATTGATAGATTGTGTAAATGAAGCTTGTTAGAGATTAATGTTGGGCTTAAAGATTACTTTTGGAACTAATGATTAAGTTTTTTAAATATCTGTTTTATTTGATAGTATTAAATTTTGTGTTTTTATTTGTCTTTCTTGTCTTTGATTTGCCTTATCTATGTGGAATATTCATTGTTACATTAATAAATTAAATAAAACAAGAGAGTGGATGATCTAACACGATTTTTTTTTTTTTAATCCATACATTTAGTTTGATTTTTGTTTTTATATATAAAGATAACCTTATCTTGGATTAATTCTTGTTGGAAAGAAAACTTAAGAAAATTTGTACTTTATATCCATATTCGACATGAGATTTATATACTTTATATGGTCTTTTCTTAGTGTAAGTACCATTTTTTCTTGTCACTGACACAAAAACAAAACAGAGAGGAGGAGATTTCAATTACAAGAAACACCCCAGTGAAGAGGGCTAGCTTTTCAAGCATTGAAGAAATTAACAGATGTGAATAGCCTTACAAAAAGGTGATTTCTCTTTTTACAACAGTAGAGTATGATCATAAATAATTGAATCTCATTATTTTGTTGCTTAATTATTTTATTGAAAATATTATTATATATGTAGGATTAGAAATAAACCGAGTTGTTCATAAATAGTTCGGGATCAGGTCATTTAAAACTAGGCTTAAACTTGTTCATTAAGTAAATGAGCCGAGTTTGAACTCAATTTTTAAGCTCGTATAAGCCGATCCTCAACATTGTTTGGTCGGACTTGTGTAGGTTCGTGAATAGTGAATAATAAGTTTGTGTAAGCTCTCATACGCGTTCATAAACATTAAGTCGTAACACGTTCATAAACATAGATTTGTATAGGCTAGTTGAGGTTCATGAACATAAACTCATTAATATATATTCGTGAATATAAGTTTGTGTAGACTCATAAGTTCTTGGATATCGAGCTTGGACGACTTTTGTTATTAAATGATACGAGCCCAAGCACAACTTAATGAAATGCTCCTCATGGTTCGGAGCAAAGTCTGAGTAAAGCCAATAAACAAATGAGCCAATTCCGAACAGACTTAAACTCGGCTCACCTTGCCTCATTCATTTGCAGGTCCTATATATATGTTTATATAGTGTTTATACATAATGCTAGTGCCTAGAGGCAAAATTGGTATTTCAAGCTTTGTCCTTTTTGGGAGGCACATCCTTCTCACCAAGTCAATCTTCTTTCATCTTTTTCTTCTCAAGTTCTCAAATTGCCTATTCCTTTAAAGACACTCCAAAGAAAAACACCAATTCAGTTGATGGAACATTACCATCCTCTTCCATTACTTTGAAGTAATCATGATCTATTTAGGAAGAGAATATAAAGTTATACAACAATGACTTTTATTAACTTGGTTTGCTAAGCTTCCATAATTCTTGTTGCAGATAATTGTTATACTAATATGTTTCTTGGGTGCCCTTGTGCTTTTATACACTCCAGCCTATTTTTAAAATTCGATTTTGTCTTTTAGATGCATTATGGATATATTTATCAATTCTATTGAGCACACATTTTCAGTGAAAGCCTAGTAAACAGAAGTGAAATGCAAATTGCATTTAATTAGAGAGAATAAAAAAAGCAGTAGATAGTGTGTATAAAAGATGAGTAAGATACTGCACTGAAAGGGGAGGAGTGAGTGAGAGAGAGAGAGAGAGTGTAGAGTTTTGGAAATAGAGAAAATGTAGAAATGGAGAAAGAAATAGAGTTTCAAACATTAGCACTTAGTCATAATTGTTTAGTAAAAAAAGAATAAAAGTTAATGGAAAGTAACAAGGAGAAAAATATACTCCACTCCACATGCTGGGACCACTTCTTTCACAAAGTCTAAACGTTTTTAGTCTACCACTTTCACAAAGTCTAAATGTTTAGCACTTAGTCATAATTGTGTGGTAAAAAAATAAAATAAAATAAATAACAATAAGGAAGTATTATTTCCATTACATTTATTTTGATATAATCAATATATGATTTT